TCATCGCTTCTGAATGAAGTGTACTCTTGTGACCTCAAGAACTTACGCCTTTATTCATTATCAGTAATATTTTTCTGTTTTACAAAGTGAACGAAATGCTTGAAGGGAAAGTTATTCTTCCATTCTGATGGAATGAAAGGCAGAATCAGAATTCATAGAATTAAACTGTGCCTGTTCATTGCGTTCAGGTTTTAATAGGCTGAATTCTTTATTATACCTCTCACCAGTGTAAGGGTTGACAGAAAGATATGTAAGCATATCGGTTCTTTTCCTTTGATTCTTTATTTTATTCACACAGGTCCATTGCTTTTATGACTACTGTTTTCCTCTTTAGCGATCTGTTACATCGTGCGTCTCCTCTGCCAAGCAGGGGGCAAACAAGTCCAAGTCTGGTCGAAAGTACTTCTGGCCACAAAACCGGATTCCTGATCGCTTCTGGAACTTCGTCGACGAATTTGCTGGGGTCATCAGCCGTAGCGATACGTCGACATTGAAGCGTCTGATCGAGGAAACGGACTCTTCACGATGCTCTGAATTCTACGAACTGCCCTCTTCCGGAAAACACTACTGTCTTCGCAACGGCGACGCCGTTCGAATGGTCGACAAGTCAGTGGAACCGCTCAGTGACTTCGACGATTCCTGGTAGGTGCCATAGTTTTAGCTTAATAGCAAATTCTTACGGTTTCTCCATTCTTTGAATGAATTATCGTTTGTGGGGTTCCACGACGGTATGCCTCCATTAGCTATCATTTTGGACGGTCTGTTAACCTCACACTTTACATCATTTTGTGCTCATTGACAGCTGTTTTCCTGATTTGTATCTCGGTCATTTTCTGTATCGTTTCTTCAGCTTTTCATTTCAGGGGCAGAGCTGCCACCAGCAAACATTGCTTCTCTTTTTTGATTTTGACACAAGCCCTTTTAAGCAAGGCGGCGATGCTTTAAGGTTGTGTAGAGGGCCCACGATAGAAGGGATCTTCGATCAGTAATATTACAGGAATCGACAGGGTGGAGAACTGTTCCTTTTGAATGACAATAACCGGTGCTCTTCAGCAACATGTTGTGAAGCTGCGAATATTGCGAATGCGAATATTAGCAGATATTACATACCAGGAGAGTTCTGCTTACGGAAATGGCTCGGTGTGATAATTTCAACAGAATCAACACACAGTCACTGTCATTTCATGGTCGATAGTGCGCATCTAGAAATTTTGCGTTGACTGCCATTGTTATTATTCTTACGTAAGCAGTCATCGATTATGAACTAAGTAATGTAACCAGAATTTTATTGAGTGGTATTTTTTATATATGTAGTGTCAGGCACGTTGCTTCTCCTACTTGACTCTGTTATTTGTGAAAGACGTGGTCTACCGATTTAAAGGGCATTCTTTAAGTAGTTTCAGGGGTAAACGTAACGGAGTACTGAAAAAATACTCAGAACGTTTGTCTTCGTCGTCTTCCACACATAACGGCAGTAAGGAACAAAGTCAGAGCGTGCATCGCGTCGGTTCGGTGTCCGGCAAATACTTGAACACCTCTGTTCATGAGAAACTGATAGAGAACAACAAGGTCAACTCG